TTCTTTCTTTCTTTCTTTCTTTCTTTCTTTCTTTCTTTCTTTCTTTCAATCAAAATATATTACTAGCCAACATTTTAGGAAAAAAAAACAACCAAGAGAACAAAACAAAACAAAACAAATTTGAAAGGCTGAACATTTCTGAGAAAGCCTCTTGTCAGAAATTTGGCAGTACCTTACTGTTGACCTCAGTCTTTTTGCCCTAGAGGCAATGCTGTTTACTAGCTATACAGCTAACAGGTTCATCTGTATTTACAGACATGAGATAGACGAGAAATAACAACACGAATCTCGTTGCCTCACCTACCTAAGTTTTATGCCCTGTCTTTAGGGAAAGGGTTATTCCTCCCCCTTTTAATCATACTTAGTATATACAGAAGCATGTAAGGTGGTCCAAGTTAAAGTGGCTACGGTACTCTTGTGGTCCATACTCTGTGACCATGAAAAACACAGCTTCCACCCACAGCTTCATTGTTAGTCAGCATCCAGGATCTTCTGACAGTTTCATCTTCTTTAATCTTTAGTGTCTTCGTCCCTATGATTGTGCAACAAGCTACCATTTTACTGACGGTCTGCTCCCAGTAAAAATAATGAGCCTCCAGTTTCAGGGGGTGGCATAGCAGTATATTTCCACTACAATAGCAAAGGTACATGTGAAAGGAAAACGAAGGCAGAGATCTGCCTGTTCAAAACAAATTGTTTGATATTCAATTGTATATATTCCATGACCCATCCCAAACAAGCCACCATTATCTCCTCGCCTTGGGATTGCCCTCATAAGAGAAGAATTTTGCCTTCCTTTGAAAGGATTTCAGTTACATTAGCAATCTGGGTCTCTCTCACTGATGAACTTCATCAAACTGGTAAGAGCGTGATATTCTGAGATTTTTATTGCACTAACAATTTTTTTAATGAAGCAATTAATGACAAATGAAAGGAAAAATGAATTGTATAACTGCATTACACCATGTATGTTCACAAAATCAGTATATCTGAAGACAAATTAGTTACTAATATTGACGTTTTGCTTTACAAACGTGAAAATGTATAAAAGCTCAGGATGACCTCACACCTAGTGGCATTAAATAATAGACATTTAGCAGAAGAATTCAAAATAACAAAACTTTCTCAGTTACAATTTCTTTTACATTAATTAATCAACATGACTAACTTATCTACAGCTACTGAAGATGAAACTACAAATCAAATCCTCCAGTTAATAGACTCCTCCTGTTCTGACCTGAAGTAGAAGAGACAGAACAATATGCTTTCCTATCTCCATTTCAATGACAGCTAAGATAATCTTCATCAAGATAATCTTTCATAAGAAAGCAGGGCATTCTCTGGCAAGATATCCCCTAGAATGTGCTTTTTCCATTAGATTTTAGGTGTTAAGAACCAGAGTAGAAGCTGAAATTGGACTGTGTCCTGACTAAATTAGCACAACATGTAGCTATGTGCACACAAGGAAAATAAATTGTTCTCAGTTTTTGTAAAAACTCCTTTGAATCATGTTTTAAATTCTTGCCAGCAGTGCTAAGGGAGAGCATTGAAGCACTTTTGATACTGAGTTTAAATGCAGAGAAATTCTTTAAATCTTTATTTTTCCTATATATTGTTTCAATTCTGTGAATGAATTTGTACTACTAAATTAAATATTCCAAAGACAGCATTATTTAGCATACAGGCCAGTTGCCAATGGACAAGACATGTCTATACTACTAAGCTATGTTACATCCAAAATTCTGTGCTAACATAAAAACTGTCTACTAAGATACTGACCCAAAACTACTGACCTGAGACATTTCCAAAATACAGCAAAGAATTATTTTGGAGTGCTAATGTGGGCTATAGCGAAAACTACATTATGGACATTTCTAATAGATTTAAGTGTACATGACTGAGTTCATGTGCCCAGTAACAACCTTGGGAAACATTTAATTTTCTCTTGTAGACATAACATTAACTCTTAAATACAAAATGTTGTTGTTTGGGTTTTTTTTGATGTGCAGCAAATATCTAACTTACCATCAGAGTCTGACATAGCTGGCTCTGAAGTTTGAGATACCATGGAGACATCTTCTGGCCTTTCTGCCATATTATCTCCTTGCAATCTAAATTGTAGAAAAACAGAACAAAAACATAGGCAAATTCCATTGATAAGATACATAAAAATATTAATTCTCACTATATACAGAACACTGCCCTAACTAAAAGAGTAGCTTTGCTGAACAGTCAGCATCTATGGTCCAACCATATCATTCCAGAGCATATAATAACTAGAACTAGCCTTTAGAAAACAGTCAAATGAATTGTACATGGTTTAAATAAACGAATAGGATTGCACTGTGTCAAGGTGTTGGTGGCAGGGCGGTTGCCAGGATTGGCCTTAGCAAGAAGAGGACATGGGCTGCCCCATACTGGACACAGGCATTTCCATCTGGCTCCAGTGCACACAGCTATGCCCAAAAGCCAATCTGACAGCACTTCTGGAAAAATGCATTTAAGAAAGAGGAGAGATGTAAGGCAGGTAGAGGAAAAGAGCGGAAATAGCAGAAGGAAAACCATACTTAGAGAAGGAGGTGATTCGGGCACTGGAGCAGATTTTGTGCCACTGCAAGGTGAGAGGACCACAGCATCCACTGAAAACCAAGAAGACCATGTGAGTACAGTGGAGCAAGTGAGTATTTCCTGAAAGAAGCAAAGCCAATGGAGAGCCACGATGGACCAGCCAGAGGAAGTGTTACAAACTGACTGCTTGGGGGCGTGGGTAGAGAAATCTGGAATGAAGAAGTGAAGTTGAACCTGGGAAAAGGGGAGGAAAAGTGTGATCTAAATGCATCTTTTAGTTTCTCATAAGCCAAATCCATTTTAATTGGCAATAAATCAAATTAATTTTCCGTAAGTCTGTTTTGCATATGGCAGTAACTGGCAAGCAATCTCCCTGCCTTCACCTTGACCCACAAGCTTTTTCATCATAATTTCTCCCTGTCATGCTGAGGACAGTGAATGAACAAGCGGCTGAGTAGGAGTTTGGCCCTTAGCCAAAGGCAACCCACCAGAAGAAATACACACATGAATATTTCTTCCTTCTCTATTACTTTTTAAAATAAATATCCAGTATTTAAGGCAAGTATTGTCTTCAGGCTTTCCTCCTGCATCAACTAACTGCAATGTCTTGATAGTAATTTACAAAAATAGGCCTTGTAACTGCTGGCTTTTTAATGAGTATCTCAAGAGATCCACTATCCTTCTTCAGGCTCCTATGGATCTTGAGCACAGATTTTGCTCTGAAGAGATGGTTTGTAGCAATACAGTTGTCATTTGCATAAAGGTTATTTTAACTTCAATTTATTCAGACATAAAAAGAATAAGAAAACACAATTTTGCAGAGCCCAGGAATTCTCAGAATGCACTGAAATAAGACCTTAAGGAAATAAATATATCCTGAAAGAAGTATCTTTTACTCTGTATTCTCACTCTCTGCAACAGCTTTACACGAATCTTTCAATTAACCTTTGAAACCAAGCAGAACCTCCATATTAGCCCTATCCAATTTTCACATCTCGTGAGTTTCACACCTATTTAATCCATCTTCCAAAAAATTATTTTCCCCCAATAATTACTGTTATTTCCTTTTATGAGAGAAGGCTTAATATAAATTCATAACAACTCTGGCCTGAGGAGGCAGTTCCATAGAACTCAAAACTCATTAGGGCAACAAAAGAGTAGAGCTTAAAAGACACCTAATTTTGAAAATGACTTCTACAAATCCTTTGTAGCTCTATAGCCAGTCTGTATGCTCTAGTTACAAATCCTTTAAAAATTTAGCTTGCAGAACAAGCTTTTCAAAAGACAACAGTAAAACAGAAGCAAACTTCTGTTCATGCTGCTCTCATCTTCACTTTCATGCTACTATCATAAAGACATTCAAACAAGGAGAAAACTAACTTCAAAAGTAATGGAAGAAAATCTCCAAACCACACAATTTCCATTTGCTTTATATTTGCCCTGTCGTCCTGTATTACATAAATATGCATGCATACTGCAAGCATGTATTCAAGCTTATAAAGATAAACCTGAAATCACAGAACCAGAAGTGATAAGACATTCTCCTCTGCAGCCATCCTGTGTACTATTAAAAGAAAAATTACTCCAGACTTCCATGTTTATATTGCACTCATGCAAAAATACCTCTAACTGTAGGTAGGAGATTCTCATACTCCACCAGGATTTTCCAGATTTTGTAACCCATTTCCATTATGTGATTTCATAAATCCAAACCCAATGCAATTAGACATGAACAATCTACATGATTCTCATTATATTCATGAAATTATGTTAAATATTTAAGTAAACACAATGCCTCATAGAAAAAAAAAAAAACCTTTCCAATGGATCTAGTAAAAAAAGCTATTTCATTATTTGCCTTTGTAGAAGGAAACAGCTGAGTGAACTAGACAGATTGACGGGTGGGTGAGTGGATGAATTTCACATATCTAGGCCTCAGTTTCCCATAAAATTTTCAATGTATTTATGTGTTTCTTACATCCTTACATAGAGATTCATACTAGAATAAATCCTCATATTACTCAAGCATTAGAAGGACTCAAACTTTTCCAATCTCAGCTTAATACAGAAGACTTCGCAAAGCAACCTGCACAAAACTCAATTTTGACTAATATAAGATCCTGGATTTTTTTTTTTAGCATCATCAGGACTTCCCTGGCAATTCTACCTACCTGATAACACCTCAGAACACATTATTCTGTAAATCTCTATGATTACAAAGGTAGAAAAGAATTGACTCTGATCCCATCCTGCTGCCAGTACAAGCAGAACCACCCTAGAGAACTCCAGATACTAGTTCCTACTCTAGCTCCATTTGTTGCAAAACAAGTGCAAATTGAAATAAGGTAGATGAATCACCACAAATGCTTCTACTTGGATTTTTTTCAAGAGATTTTAAGGGATTGAGTGTACCCTCAGCAAGTTTGCAATGGACACCAAGTTGACAGGAAGTGTCAACCTGCCCGGGGGGTAGGATGGCCTTACAGAGGGATCTGGACAGGCTGGATTGCTGGGCTGAAGCCAATGGGATGAAGTTCAACAAGACCAAGTGCCAGGTTCTGCACTTTCGCCACAACCCCAGGGAATGCTACAGGGTCGGGGCAGAGTGGCTGGAAGACTGTGTGGAAGAAATGGACCTGGGAGTGTCAGTCAATGCTTGGCTGAACATTCTGTCAATACAAAAAAAGGAATGATTAAGTATTGTGAATGAATACACACTGTACAGTATTTTTAAGTCATCAATAAAATTTTCATAGCAGCACTATATTCCCCATTAGACAACTTCGTTAAACTCTGATAACTTTCCATTAACTTACCATTAAGTTTTTTTGATAGAGTAGCTTTTAGCTTTGCCAAAAATATTACATTTGGAGCTACCTATATAATTTGAATTATAACAGTAAAGAAGTAGACACAGGAAAGAATCCCTGTACAAGGAACTCTGTGATATGATCTCTGTGATATGTAAATCTTTTGAAATTATACCTACTTTTTCTAACACAGCTCACTGGGACATACTTCTTCGTGATGCATTATTCAAACTGATATTACTTAAGCAGAATGTGCAGGGAAAGTTGTCACTACTATCTGAAAGGTAGTCCTTCCAAGAACTCCTCATATTAGTCAAGAAAATAAACATCAACAGAATCCAAAGTCTGGATGAGCTTATTGCTGTTGCATATTGTGACTAGCTGTGTGGCATGTCATTTCAATTCCCCAGTTCTTTTATTTATTTACAGAATTAGGGGTCTTGCTTTCAAACCTCTCTGATACCCATCAGTGTCCAACATAAGGACAGCTTCTTGACATTATGGTAATTTGCTGCTTTAGAAAGATGTTAGATGATTACTTAGATTGATGACCTCACTTAGAAGTTGAAAAGCAAGACGACAGAATCACAGAATCACCCGGGTTGGAAGGGACCTCAAGGATCATGTAGTTCCAACCCCCCTGCCTAGCAGGGCCACCAAACACACACATTCAGATCAGGTTGCCCAGGACCCCGTCCAACCTAGCCTTGAACACGTCCAAGGACGGGGCATCCACAACCTCCCTGGGCAACCCGTTCCAGGGCCTAACCACTCTCCTTGTATAGAACTTCCCCCTAACATCCAACCTAAATCTTCCCTCCCTCAACTTGGATCCATTTTCCCTAGTCCTGCTATTGTCAGCCCTTTTGAAGAGTTTACTCCCCTCCTGGGTGTAGGTTCCCTTCAGGTATTGATAGGCTGCAATGAGGTCACCCCGCAGCCTTCTCTTCTCCAGGCTGAACGACACTATAAACAATTCATTGTTTGCATCTAAAAATCACCGAATCACAAAATCTAATAGCATTCCAGAATGACAGATTACAATGGGTAAGTAAGAAATAATGGGATTACTGAGGATGGAAGGAGAGAGTAATACTTCAGAAGCTGTGACTTTACCACCTGTGGCTCTCCTAAAGCAAAGCTTTATGATCTCATACAGCTGCACAATCACAATCAAACTACAACTTAAAGATAAAACTAACAGAAAACATTTGAGGAAGTCGAATTTTTTTTTCCTCTATTACTTAAGTACAGTATGCAGTTTCAAGTTTGAAATTTGTCAAAATATTTTTGCTTGAGTAAAACCGATTTTTCAGAGGTAAAAGAGCTGCTTTAAGAGTAGCAGTGGGTATGTATATATTTCACTGTGTATATTTGACAGCACGTATAGATTAAGATGAATTCCTTTTTATGAATTCCTCTATTGCATTAAATTGCTGATGTTAGTATACACTATGACTGTCCTCTTTATCAGCACTGTTGCCCTGTGATAGTCTCAAAACTAGCAGTAAATGAAATTATACTCCTTGTTATGGCAGGATAATATAATACAAAGATGCTCATCTTTGAACAACATTTGTGCAATATTAATGAATTTGGGGAAAAAAAATACTATTCTGACAAACTGATGTGCCCATATTCCAAACATGTGGGTTAAAAACTTCAACTATCCAATTCTGATCCTATTCCTTCGCAAGTAGAAAAAAAACAGAACAGAAGCAGGTTTTGCATTT